CTTTTTTTTTTTTTTTTTTTTTTTTTTTTTTGTATAGTTGATAGGCCAAAGATATGTTTCTTTATTTGCCTTTTGAAATTTAATACATAATTTCCCAGGAAGTAGTATATGTATGTATGTATATACTTCAAACATGCCTTCAAACTGACCCAAGCCACTTGGAGAAATTCAGTTCTACTGCCTGCTACTGTGGTTTTACATAGACGTGGTACTTTGCTGTTGGCTGTGAGTTCAACCTGCTTGTCCAACCTCTGAGGCCCTCAGTGTCGTCATCTAGAAAGCAGCTGTGGGAAAGTAGAGACTACATTTATTTTATTATTATTATTATTTACTAAGAATAGTAGAAAGAAAGCCATTTTGGAGAAACTAGGCTTGAACCTTTCTACTAAATGTTAAAATCCCCCGATCAAGTGTAATAGCTTGTTCAAACCTATGCCTCTGGCTCTCTCATCTCCCTGGCTCTAGGCACCTTTGTGTGGTTTGACATCATGACAGTCGGTTACCATGGCTTCTTCAGGGTGGTATAGGTCCCTTCCTAAGAGTTGGCTCATGGAAGAGAGCTTTGAGGACATAGAGAGGGAAGAAGGCAGGGGCTTGAGGGGGAATGACAGAGTTTGGGAGGGGCAGGAGGGAAGCCCAGCTGAGGGAGGGGACAGGAAAACACCCTGTGGGGATCACACAGGCCGCAGAGCAGCAGCTGGGAAAGGCTGGCAGATGGAATCCTCAGAGAGGCCTTCCTTGGAATGTACTGGCGCAAATCACTCAGCTTTCGTCTGTGACAGAGCTACAGGTCCCTGAGCTGCCACAGGTGTCTACTGATGACTCTGCCTCTCCTTCCTGCTTGACTTCATCTCCTTTCCCTTTCGCCACCTGCAGCTGGTGCAACACTCCTTCCCCGTCAGGCCTCCACCTGGGCTCTCAGATTGATGCCCCCTGTCCTGAATGCCTTTCATATTTGTAACATGAATAATAAAAACCCAGAGACAGATAGGGGGTTAAAGCTGAAGATCAGAGAAGCAAAGCGGCCAAGCCACCAGATAGCTCTCACCTCTACCAATGTCAAACCAAAGGGGTGATCCACCAAACCTCCAGACTTCATTGCTCTTCAAATCTCAGATTGCTCTTGAGACTGCATTGAACTCCTGATATTCTCTCCAGTGCTGGTATTAAAGGTGTGGTCTCTGTTTCTCTTTTGGACTGATTCACTCCCATTTATCCCAGGGTGGCCTTGAATTCACAGAGATCCATCTTCTTCTGTCTCCTGAGTCCTGGGATTAAAGGTGTGCGCCAACACTGCCTGGCCCCCATGGCTGTGGCTTTATTAGATCTTAAACGATATATCACCACACATATTAGTCTACTTGAGAAGGGAGAAGGATGTTTGTCCATACAGGAGCTATTTTTGAGCATCCCAGTTCGTGTATCATGGACCTCGCCCTGTCTGTTTCTCAGTGAACCTTCCTTGGCCAAGCTTTTCTTCAAATGTCTGACATGCTGTCATGGATGTTTTTGCTGTTCATGATGCTTTGTCTTCGTTAGTTTTCTGTGACCTTGCCAGAGCAAATTTTAGTGCTGTGGTATTTAAATCCACGGGTTCTAACATTAGGATGCGTTCAGATACAGTTTTGGGGTGTATTCATGATATCTTGCATAAAATTCAGTTCAGTCAACTAATAAAGCAACTGTATCTGTAGCAACAAAAAGCCCCTACGGTGTTTCTAAAATGTGAAGTTATTTTCTTCTTCTTCTTCTTCAAAATCGGTATTTCTGATTCCTTTCATGCTCACACTTGAACATAGGCCTCTTCTGCTTTTGTGGCCTTAAAGTTTCTCATATTGTTCATTCCTTGGCAGAGTAGAAAGAGCCAGAAGAGACACACCCCCATCTTAAAAGCCCTGAATGACTCACACCTTCTTCCCCAGCTAGAACTCTGACCCATTATTACCCTCCGTGTCAAAGGAGTCTGGGAAATGTAGTCTGGTGGTGTACCCAGGAAACCTAAGGTGGCTGTAAAACCCAGTAGGTAAGGCCTGGTTGAAAGAGTGGACATGTTTGGTGTGGAGAAGCAGAAAACTCCTTGGAATCCATGCTTGTGACCAGGGACATAGCTGTCCAACTCCTGGTCTAGGGGAGCTAAAGTTCTGCTTGAGCCAAGACTCTGTGACGACGCTTGGTGATGAAGACACTCTGTAAGCAGTTGCCGGCAAGAAGGAAGGAGGGAGGCCATGGACAAAGTAAACTTGAACTCCACTGGCCAGTGCCTAGGCCCTGTATTTATGTTCTATGACAATGACGATAACAGCTTACACGTCCCCAATACTGATATGTCCTATCCTTGCTTATAATTATTCCTATTTCATAGGTGAGTGAACTAAGTCTCTGAGCAGCAATTTTCCCAAGGTCACAGTTGAGAGACAGAGTTCAAGTTCAGCTTCCAGCAAGCTGGTGACACAGCTGCCATTCCTGTTCATGTGAGCCTGACACCAGTTCTTCCAGACGGTTAATACTGCCACTGAGAGAGAACCATAATTTATATCACAAGGAATGAATGAAGTCACCCTCGGCACTCCACCTAATATTCTCATAGGAGCTGTTGTAATAATCTAAAAGCAACCTAAGGAAATGGGTATGATCAGCCCTGTTTACTGGGCTGATGAAGATCTGAAGAAGACTCAAGAGAAGAGAAACATTTCTCTGGGGTCACACAGTAGGGAAGCCATTGCGGGCACTGTCCATTCAGAAGCCTTTGGTTGCAAGGAACTAGGCTGACTTAAAGGAGACAGGAGGGAAGTGTACTGGGTCACAACTGTAATTCCGCAGGCCAGGTAATAGGCTGTTTTGTTCCAGTAGAAAACACACAACTCCCTTGAATTAGGATGGCCTCATAAAGGGTTGGTGTGACACACACACAATTGATGTCGAATTGACATAGAACTAACCATTAACCTTATGGACGCATACAGTTCAGTGACATTGAGTGCATTCATAATGAGAGACTGTCATTTCTGCATACTTCCAAGACATTATCATCACCCCCAAAGGAAGCCATATACACAGTCAATACACCTCATGGTCCCCCTCCTTCTTCCAGCCCCTGGCAACACCAGTCGGCTTCTCATCGCTATGGATGAAACTCCGCTGGATGGTTCACATGTATGGAATTGTCTGTGTAAGATTTCATGCAAGGCTTTTATTTAGCATCTTTTAGTATTACCATTTTAAAGATCTACCCAGTGGTATAGTATATGCCAAAATTCATTTTGTTTGAATGTTTGTTTTGGTTTATTTCTTTGAGTTGGTTCCTGCTAGGGTCACCTTGGCTGCCTTGAATCACCGCTTCACCCTTTCATTATTTTTCATAGTTCAATAATTCCATTGTGTGGGTAGATTCCAGTGTTTATTCATTTGTCAGTTGGTAGACACCTAAGCTGTTGCTACTCTTTGGCTGTCATGGCAAGTGCTGCTGTGAGCATTCATTTACAAGTGTTTATTTGAGTTCATGTTTTCAGTTCCGTGGGGCATATGCCTGGGGCGGAATGGCTCAGTCATCAGGTAACTATTTTTAACTTTGAGGAGCTGTCAGACCTTTGTAAAGCCACTGAGTGATTTTACATTCCTACCAGCCAGCAGACCTTTGCCAAGACTTGCTATTTGCCCCTTTTCCTGTCTGTGGCCGACCTAACGGATGTGAAGTGGTATGCCACTGTGGTTTGTTTGCAGGTCTCTAATGACTCGTGCCTTCTAGCAGCTTCTCCGGAGCTTGCTGGCCACGTCAAAGAGCTTTAGGGAGGTGTGGGCAGGTGCGGGGTGGTGCGCCCTTCAGAGCAGCCGCCTAGGGGTTCCTGTGGATCTGTGGTTTTGAGGGGCAGAGAATGGATGACTGGCAGCATCTTGAAAAGATGAAGCCTTAATGGTGGGGTCTGGGCAGAGCTGAGACTTGGACTAAGCGTGAAAGACAACCCCAGCCTTTCCCCCTTCTTCCCATCTGCTGTTGGGGCTCCTTGTTGACTATAACCTTTGGCTACCAGAGGGTAGGGAGCCCCTCTGTAAGTTCCGAGGTTAGCTAAGGTCTGCCCTTGTGTGTTGGACTCTCCCTGAAGTAGGTTGTGAATTGCCCCTTTTTACCAGTACCCCCGGCGACACACAGAGACCATCCTTTCTAAAACAACTAATATACCCCTGAGAGGGAATTCTTCTTCTCTTTCGTTCTCTCTCCTCTGTCCTCTCCCCTACTTTCTTTTGGGTAAATTTTCTTTCTCTCTAAGCCTGTACCGTACACTGTGTGGACACACACGGAACAGATAACCATGCTGCAGCAGGGTGGTAGAGAAGGTTCCGGACCGGATGTACACTCAGATGCTAGCTTTTACTGGATCTGCCTGATGAGAGAGGCTTCTTCTCCTTGGGACTGTGGTGCTGTATTTGCTTATTGCCCACAGGCCAGAACGCAGGCCAGTAGACCACTTGAGTCAAGCTTGCCAGAAAACCCTCCCCTGTCTCCCCTGTCCTCCCAGGACACACACACACACACACACACACACA